CGGCGCGCAGGACTGGTGGTTCCGGGAAGCTGGGCGCCCTCGTGCACCCCCAGGCCCGGAGTCCGGTCTCCACCCTCCTCTCCCACCGACCAGAATTGCCGGGTTCCGCCCAGTGCCCCCCCCCGCGCCCTGAAACTCCGCTGCCGCCCCCTAGAGCGACCCCACTCAGCCGGACAGGTGCCCACCGGCCCAGGAGCTGGCAGGGACTTAGGCGCAGGGCTGGCCTGGCTAGCGGGGCCCTCACGCGGAAATTCAGCCTTCCCATGTTTCTTCTCAGGGCAGAGGAAAAGAATGATGAGCGACCCCCACCTTCTTCTCCAGCCAGTCCAGGAGGCAAGCTAGGGTTTGGGGACTTGGGCTTCATTTTGTCACTGAGGTGACACTGAGCCCCTCCGCCCACATCTTGTCCATCCCGTGTGAGCCAGAGGAGAACTCGAGGGCCCCTTCTGCATGCCTGCTCTCCTTCCCAGAACTGCTCTCACTTCCCTCTGACATAGGAGGAGACTGAGGGTCAGAGAGGTAAAGGGACGCCAGATTTGGGGGAAAGGCCAAAATTTGAGGCACCACCCAACTGGTAGTGAACTTCCAGATTCTCTTCCCGTATCCCCAGGCCTGGACTCAACACGGCCTGAAAGCCGGAAGTGGACAGAGAGCTCCAGAAGTTCTCTAGTCCTGGCACAAGGGGCAGGAAAGAAAAAGGTCGCCTAATGCTCCCAGGGTGCGGGAGAATGTCCCGGGGGATGTTAGGGTTTGGGAGGACGGGTGTTTGTGGTAGTGGTTGTTGTTTTACTCTTCTCCATTCTCTGATGCCCCAGCCCCTAGGTATCCCACCAAAGCATGACCAAGGCATGGGGTTTACAAGCACCTAAAACACTGAGGCAGAAGAGCCTTCCTCTCCAGCCCCAGGAGATGTGGTCCCGTGGTGGGCAGGAGAGACGCTGGGCAGGGAGAAGCAGTAGAAAGCAATCCCATGGGCCGGGCATGGTGGCTCACACCTGTAATTCCAGCACTTTGGGAGGCTGAGGCGGGTGGATTACCTGAGGTCAGGAGTTCGAGACCAGCCTGGCCAACATGGTGAAGACCCCATCTCTACTAAAAATATAAAAATTAGCCGGGCTTGGTGGCACACGCCTGTAATCCCAGCTACTCGGGAGGCTGAAGCAGGAGAATTGCTTGAGTCCAGGAGACGGAGGTTATAGCGAGCCGAGATCTTGCCGCTGCACTCCAGCCTGGGAAACAGAGTGAGACTTCATCTCAAAAAAAAAAAAAAAAAGCAACCCCAAGAAGTTGTGCAAGTCGTGCATGATGTACGAGTCTGACTCTCATTCACATCCCAAAGACTGAGAACTGAACAAAAGGACAGTCCACTGTCCATGTCCCACACTGGCCACTGGGCCATGCACACGAACGACAGATCTGAGTCCCACTGCAAAGGCTTTGAAAACAAAACCAACGTGGAAGGCAGGACCCATAGGAGCCTATTTGAACTTGTGGCCTGAAACCAACTAGGCTGATTGCATCATAAAACAAAACACCAACATTCTCAATGGGATTTAAATAAGAGCAGTCTCATAACTTAGTGTCTAAATGTGCAGGAGACAACCTAAAATTACTCTGCATGTGAAGAACCAGGAAATCCAACCTGCAAGAGAAAAGACGATCAACAGCCACCAACACCAAGATGACACAAAAACCTCAACTACTTATCAGCAAATAGAATCAAGCAGCATTTAAAAACACACACACAAATACCACAACCAAATGGAGGCTATCCCAGAAAGGCAAGGCTGGTTCAACATGTGAAAATAAATCGGTGTGATCCACCATATCAGTCTAAAGGAGAAAACCATGTGATCATCTCAATCAATTCAAAGAAAGTATTTGATGGAATTCAACACTCATCCCTGATAAACACTCTCAGCAAACTGGAAAGTGAACATGCCTAATCTCATAAAGGGAATCTACAAAAAAGCAACAACAAAAACGACAGGCCAGGCAGGGTGGCTCACCCCTGTAATCTCAACAATTTGGGAGTCCAGGAGTTCAAGACCAGCCTAGGCAACATGGAAAGATTCCATATCTGTTATTTTTAATTTTAAAAAAAGGCCAGGCGCGGTAGTTCACGCCTGTAATCCCAGCACTTCGGGAGGCCGAGGCAGACGGATCACGAGGTCAGGAGATCAAGACCATCCAGGCTAACATGGTGAAACCCCGTCTCTAATAAAAATATAAAAAATTTGCTGGGCATGGTGGCCAGTGCCCGTAGTCCCACCTACTCGGGAGGCTGAGGCAGGAGAATGGCATGAACCCAGGAAGTGGAG